AGACATCCCTCACCCCAGAGACAATCTGAGGGACCCTCCTTTCCAGAACTACCAGAACCAGAAATAGAGAAACAAAATACCCCCCAGCCCTCTGATGCCTGTTATCTGCTGTGTAATGGTTGTTATTTGGTGGTTGTTAAGGTTTAGTCAATGTGTTTTTTGTTTCAGCAATTCTGAACACATTTATTAAACAGAAATACCCCCTAAAATATTTTGGCATTTTTTTTTTCTTCCAGATAGCGATTAATGGTGATCTAGGTTTAATCATTAATATCATCATCTATAGTTATTTAATAGTTAAATATCCTACTGCATCACAGTCATTTCAGTTTAATAAGATCTGGGATTTCGAAGGGATTTCGGAGTTGAAATTTGGAATAATTTTGGGGATAAAGATTGGTGGATCAAGTGCATTTTTTCTTAACAAAGACTTGAATTACAGAATTCCAAGTTTACCGATGTGAAGGAAAACAGAAAACAGGTTGAAGAATATTTTTATATTAAAGTATTCATTTCAGTTTGCAATTAATTTAGTTAGATCCAGGTAAGATGATAGTTTTGGATTTGTTTTATATCAGTATGCTTTTATTTTGTTACAACTATTTTAGAATGGGTTTGCTAGTTTGTATTAGTCACTATTATTGTATTACTGCTTAGATTTGGTTTTGTTTTTTTTTAGTTCTACTACCAGTTTTAGTTTTTTTTTTTTAACTTCAGCTAATTTTTAGGTACAGAATTTAAAAAGATCAGATTACTCTTTATATGAAATTTTTGCATATGAATAATTAAAAAAAAGATCCTATTTTCAAAAACGGCTTTGCTTAAAGCTGACTAACTGATTCCTGTGAGCATAAAAAAAAACATTTCTCATCCATTTTCAAAGTTTATAAATTGATAAACACACAATCAAAAATTGTATATATCTATAATTTTAGTTTAAGTTATGTTTTAATATTCAGTACAGTTCCAGTTGGTAATTGTTTTTCTCTTTAGATTAGTTTTTATTTGTTTCAGTTAACAACAAAGTTTCTTCCATTTTAGTTTTATTTTTTCATGACTTTTACTACCCTGCCTGAAAGGAACACTGACTTGGATTATTTTCAGGAAAATGAATAAAGTCATAGAATTTTGAATTTGCTATTCACATAGATTAACTTCTGTTACTTGAAACAGAAATTTTTATAACCTTTTTTCATATAGTCTATGAAGGCAAACCTCATAGATTAGACGTGGTTTGTATGCATCTTCATAAGTTCCTGCCGTTTGAAGGGAATGGTATTGTTTTATATATTTTACATTTCTTATATTTGTGTTTTTTTTTTGTTTTTTTTTTACATAGCTGTTTCAAGTTTCAACATAATTGGGGCACAACACCATAACTGGTTGAACAGCTTTCCGTGTTTTTCTATGAATACGCCAACAACCGCCCAACCAGTTTTGGTTTGTTTATTAATATAAGTTGTTTTTTTATCTTCTTTTATCTTTCCCCTCCATTTCCACTTTAAAAAAAAATCTCTAAAAGGAAAGCTTGGAAAAGTAACACATGGTTTGAGAAAAAAATTACCTTTCTTTTATATCTGCTTTATTTGGAAGTTTACATTAGCTGGATGTTTATTTAATTTTTTTCATTTTTGGATTTTATTAAGAACCCACATTCCAGTCTGAGCTGCTCTGTTTTGAGATAGAATGTTAATATGTTGGAAAAAGAATCAATTTCTTCTGGTCTTCTCCTTTCTGACCTCAGATCACAAGGAATCCTTCACTCATTTTCTGGAACAGAGACTGACAAGATTTGGCCTTACATCAACACGCTCCTCAGCACCAAGATGCCGTCAGACGCCCATCCAACCCCAACGCCCTGACTGGGCTGCATGAAGAGGCCATGGAGAAGAAGGAGGAAGTGGTTCTTTTTGGTTGCTTTTTTTTTTTTTTTTTCACATGCTGGAGTGAGATTCCCAGAAATGCACTAGGATGCGAATGAACCTATTGGTTGATTTTTATTTTATTTTTTTTCTAAAGTACCATTGTGCAAACATTTCCAAAGCTTTGTACTTGAGATCACTAGGATTTGTTGATTATCACCTTCTTAAATGTTGGTGCTTCTAAGCTTCTTTTTTTTTTTCTTGTTTATAACTTTCTTATTTTCAATCATACTTCTGTATTGATGGAACAGGAGTGCTAAGGTAGGAAAAAAGGTAAAATTAATTAATAATAAATTGCAATTCAAGTGTTTTCAACCAAAAAATAGAATAGAGTGTGATTTTAAAAAAGACCAAAAATTATTTCATTCATCTTTGCAGGTATATGCGCTCCATTTTCGACTTGGGAAAGCAGAGAGAGTTACTTGTTGCTCTTAGCAACCAGGTCGACTACAAAAAGCAAACCAACCAGTAACTGCTTTTTTTTTTTTTTTCCTCTATTAAAACACTGTAACAACATTTTGTTCTGGCAATTTGACAATAGCTTTGTGTGCCTGGTTTAATGAGATATAAAACTTGTGGAAACAAGTTGTTATTGCAGCTATCACTGCTTTTTATTTGCTACGGTATTTGTGCAGCAGCCATACTGGATTTTAAAGTGGAGTGTTGGTAAGGCAAACTTGACTCTAGTTGGTCTTCCACCTTCAGTTAGTTTCCATTTGATTATATCATCCTTTAAATGGGAAATTTTGACACAACGCATCATATTTAAAATAGAATGTTTTCTTCTCATATTTGTGCCCCAACATGTGCCTGATAGCAGTGGTGATTATGTTGCAGGCATAAGTCATCTGTTACAATGTGTTGACCATTTTGCCAGTTGTTGACCTTTTGATTCGGTACACAGCAGTGTGAGCTTTTTTGGGAATGGTGTAAACATTAGTGGATATTTGCTAAAACGGTTCATGCAGACATTACAGCTTCTCTGCAGGCATTTAAAGCTAATTGCCTTGAATGTTGGTACATTTCCTTAAATGTACTCCGATGTTGCCTTCTGATTTTTTTTCTATGAAGTGCAACATTTTCCCAATGGTGTATCTATGTAAGAGGCATTTTTTTATGATTCTGACACTGTTACAGTCTCCTTGTTCTTTTTTTATATGTCCTCTGTCATTCATTGTTGCTGAATGATTTTTTTTTGTTTCAAACATGTCCCTCTGTTGTCTTTGCCTTTCAGCTTTTTTTCATGGAGAATAGTTCAGGTGCCATCATTAGGTTTTCTTCTTTATAATAATATGGTAAACTATTCAAAAAATGACAGCTGCTGAAAAAAAAAACAAAGATAAGTTTGAAGCGTTTTTCCAGTTCTGTGGCCTTTTAGTTTCTAACTTGCTACCAAGTTTTTGGAGGTTCCTGCTTGATGCCTATAAATGGCAGCTTTAAATCAGTGACTGGTAGAGGGCAGAAAGCCTTTTTTTCCTTTTTTAGTTTTGGATCTAAGGATTGCTAATGCTGGGTATTTTACTTTAAATTGTCTCTGACTGTGGATGGAAGACAAAAGGAAAAGAAACTAGGTCAAGAGGTAACGTGGAGTACTGTGCTTCAGGTGTAGTTTCTGTTGTGTTGAAATGCACCCATTGGGCTCAGTGTGTGGCCTTAAAGAAGGTCTCTTACTGAAGCGGTGAAAATGTAAGTCACAGCTTTTATGTAACACCACAGAGACCTTTCTGTTTTCACATGATGTGTTAAGAAGAAGTTACATTCCAAGAACAATAAAACTTCTGTCCAAAGCAGGACTGACTCCTGTGTGGTTAATCCATCCAAGTATACAGTATGCACATCTAAGCTGATTGCTTTTTTCAAGAATGACCATAAAAATGCAGTCATGTGAGGGAATGCTTGGTGGAAGTTCACAATTTGAAATTAACTTTATTGGCCAAGCTTGTGTCAGTTGCTTACATCACAATACACTGCCTAAAAATCAAACTGCATGATCTTAGAACGCTTTATAGTACAAGGAGCAGTATGTGCAAGGCGTGTACAGCCATTTTATTTCTTTATTTTAAAGGGAAGGCAGGTTTTGATCATGCAAAAAGCAGAGTAGTCTGTGAGCTGTTCATTGTGGTTATTTAGAGAAACCGCCTGAGGGAAGAAAGTGTCTCCATGTCAGCCAGTTTTTGCCATTAGATCTCAGCAGCGCCGACATAAAAGTAAATAGTTTATGACCAGGATATGTGGGGTCGACAGGTGTTAAGCAAAGAAAAATTGAAGATGAAATCTTCATGTCCCATTTACGTCTCCTAGGTATAAGTTTATTTGGCCTTTATTTAACCAGGTTTGTCCCACTGAGATTTAAAATCTTCTGCAATAGAGACTTTGCCATGAGGACAGCAGCATACCATACTGTACATTACAACAGATAAAACTAATTCAGAGCATTAAAACTCACACCTAACACATTTACTTCAAGACATAATTGATTTCAATGACTGAATAAGGATTTTAAATTATTTGAGCGTCACAAGGGCTCAGATGTAAAGTTGAGACTAATTTGTTCCAAGTGGTGCTGAAATCCTTAAACTTGTCTGCCCACGTCAATTAATGCTGAGGTGACAAATTGTCCTACAAATTGAAGGACATTCATAAATCAGAGTTTATAACTGCCTGGCTTTCTTATTAAAAGATTTATAAAATATGGTGAAAGAATAAGGAGAACAGATTAAAAACCATTGAGTGAGGGTTCCAACAAAGTTAAAATCCACTGGACTTTGTTTACCAACCAAGTTTGAAGACGTTTTGCTTCCCATCCAGGAAGCTTTCTCAATTCAAAATGTCTGTAGTAACTTTTGAGGTCCAGGATTATAGAGTGCCACAAAAAAATGCCTTGTAATTTCTTAGAAAACATGCAAATTGAAAAGAAAGATCAGGACCATCGGGCTCAACCCTTAGTGATGGGGAGTCGTTGAGGTCGTTGTTGGCCTGCAAGGCCCCATACTGGCCCATGCCTCTGAAAAGGGTCGTAAGGGTCATTGTTGGCCTAGCTGACCAGGGGCAATGTTTTGATCACCTACATGGCGATGAGGTTTAAGATGATAGCGGGAAGGAATCGACTCTCTCGCTGCATTGTAGGTTTTTGAGAGCTGGAACCTGACACCACTCCCTCAATTTAAAGGGGAACGCCGTTTTTTTTACATTGCGCCCTTGATTTTACGTTATTACTTCATGTTCTACTTACCCATGTGAGCTTTTTGTCATTTGGAGCTGTTCCAAAGATATTCGGTTTTGTTATATCCAAGTAACATCTTCCTATGGGCAATCGGCTTGAAGGCCCAAACTAAGCTGTTCATACTTTATTCTTTATGGTACGCCAGAATTCATAACATGTAGGTGAATCACTGTTGCCCAGACATCCACGGTTATATTTTTTATATTTATATATATTTTTTAAACAAAGCGGAGTGTGTATGACGTCATCGGTGTGCCGGATTGGAGTTGTGACAGGCAGCCTGGGCCACAGGCGGCTACGCTCTACCCCTTTTATTCATTCGGCTAGCTAATCCGAATCGTTCAATTCCATTTGGAGAGAGAGATCATCTGTGGTAGCAGCACTAGACATCTTCCAGACATGTGATTAAAACTAGCAGCAGTTCAGCGGACAGGATGAATGAATGGTAGCCAAAAGAGAGTCTTGAAATAAAGTAAAAAAAAACAAAAAAAAAACAGATTATTACAGAATCGTTGCTTTTATATTCTTTATATCTCTAAGTTTTCAGCTAAATTACACGTGAAAAACATCATGTTTTACGTGGGGAATGTCTCTCTTACTGCCTTCCTGCCTCTCTGTATGTCTATCCTCCCTCTCTTTCCTCCTAATCCTGGGGGATTTGTTAGTAAAGCCAATGCGTATTAGTCTGGGTTAAACTCTGCTCCACTGTCAGACACAGATTAGAGCTTCCTCTTCTGTGTTTACCTTCGACATGTGGTGCAGCACTTTTTCTTTGCAGAGTTGAACTTTAGATTAACAATTGCATAATAAATCAATTGTATCACATTATTTTTAAAAAATCCATCTGCTTCAGCTATAAACAGAAGAAAAATTCAACTGTAACAATAGAAGTGATCAATTCAAACAACCAAATAAAAAAAACAAAGCAATGCCGAGTTAGAACATCAGGTAATACATCCCATATCTTCTCTCAAATCTGTGTCAACATTTGTCTTTTGAAAATAAGATTTTGAGAAGAAGCTATTTTCTTTTGAAATCATGGGGTTCCAAAAATAATCAGAACAAAACANTTTTTACTTTATAACAAAAATAAATAAATAAACAAACAAACACAAATAAATTGAATAGCAACATCTCAGGCTATTGGCCAACAGAAGTTAGAAGCCGAATGGCTACGGAATTAAAGGAGTTTGCGTATCGACTGGTTTTCTGGTTGGGAACAGCATAGTGCCGCTGTGAGGATATTAGCATAAACTGAGCTCTGAGAACATGGTTAGGCTGGCTTAGGATGGATTTAGTTTTCTAAAGGATTGACTGTTACTCAGTGAACTTTAGGTTCAAACAATTTAGTTCATCAAATATTCAGCTGAGTTACTGAATATTTAACTGCCCACTAATAGTTATATGCTTGGATTGTCTATGATAATAGCTTTAAAAACAGTTTATTTCCTCAGTCATTCACTTCATAAGTTTATTGAAAAAGCTGCGTTTCAGCAGCTAAACACCTTCCTAACAATGATCAGCCGCTTAAACGTTTTTCTGTCAGCCTTCCATGCTTGCACAAAGACTGCCCTTGTCAAGGTGTTCAATGACATCCTTATAAATGCAGACTGTTGAGAAACCACACTGCTGGTTTAATGAACCTCAGTGCAGCATTCACCACTGTTAATCTCTCCATTTTATTAGAGTGCCTGGAAAACTGGCTCTGCCTGTTTGGTACAGGGCCCGATTGGTTTAAATTCTACCTGAGGTACAGGGCCTTTTTTGTGTCAGTAGGTGACTTTACATCAGAGAGCAGAAAAATCCCATGTGGTGAAAAAGGAAAAGCCTTTAAAAGTTAGCACACAGCATAAGCTATTCCAGCTACAAACCCACCAATCTGGTTCTAAATCTGGGTGTAGTGATGGAATCAGACCTCAACCTTCAAAGCACAATAAAAGCTAAATAAAAGTCTACATATATTATGTCTCAGCAGGACCTGTAAAACTAATAAATGCATTAATCTTTATTAGGACTGATTACTGCAGTTTGTCCACAGATCTGCCTAAAAAGTAAATCAGACAGCTTACTAGATCCAGAACGTTGCTGCCAGCATCATCACTAAAACTAAAAAAGTAGAGCACATCAGCCCAGTTCTAAAGTCCTTTCACTGGCATCCTTGTATATCATAGAATAGACTTTAAAATCTTTCTGTTAGCCTATAAATCACTGAATGACTTTACTAAAATATACATTACAGACTTGTAGTCAGTGGATCAACCACCCAGCCGCTTTGTTTGACTCTGCATACCAGAACCAGAACCAAACATAAGGAAGTGGGTTTTAGATATTGTGCTCTGCAAATCTGGAACAAACTCAGCAAACTGGAAAAGGGATAAAACCCCAAGTTTCTTTAAATCAAGATTAAGCATCCATGTTTTAAAAAAGTTGTCTTTGTGTTAACTAAACATTATAAGTTAACGTTCGTAGCCCAAACTTTGTGTCTTTTTATTAGCAATAATTTTATTACAATTTTGTATAACTATCTTATCATTTAAATTATTCATTTTATTAATCTTGGATTATTAATATTCACTTATTATTTGATTAGCTTTATGCTGTTGTAATGCACTTTCCTCTGTATGTTTATATGCTTATTACGGCGGTGCCTCGCGGAAGCAGCCAGATAGCTCTGTTATTTTGCACCATGTTTTTTCTTTTCTCTCCATATATTTTTACATTTTATTTTAATCACTGCTGCACTTTAAGAAATGGAAATGTCATGAAAAAAACTTTTTATACATTCTGTGTAAACAAGATGACAAAGTTTAAGTCATGTTTTCCTGTTACAGTATGTTTTTCAGTTTCAGCACTTAGAACTGTCTTTCTACTGAAGTGTGCTATATAATTATGCTTTTATAAAAAATTTTCCTAGTCCTTTATTCTGATCCAGAGGTCTCCTCAAAATCCTTTTATGATGAAAATAAAGATTACTGATTGATGTTTGATGCTGTGTACAGTCACTGCTGTCAAAAACGTGTATTGTAAAACATTATAGACACAAATAAAATAATAAAAAGAGAAAACATAGCAGGTTGGAAATAGAATATTTCAGGATTTTCTACTATGATCTTGGTAAATGTTGTTTAGATTCTAGATTCAGACTTGTTGTAAAAAAAAAAAAGAAAAAAAAGGGGGAAATATCTAAATAGTGAGTTTTCTTTCAGTCACTGAAGCCACTCCATGTTTTCCTGCTCCTACCAGGAACCACTGAGGGAAGCTGCCGGACAGATCCATAAACATTCAAACCAATGCTGCCCCCTTGCTTTCTCACATCCACATGCGCTACCGATCTACCAATGGCAGGCCTGTTCTCTGCTCCTACGCCAAAGACGGGTTTGTCTGCGTGATGATGCGGTATCTCGGTGCCTCCACAGCTTCACTGACGGGTTAAACTTGGATCTAGCGGAGCCCAGTTCTCACAGGGTGTTTTCCACCTGTACCCTCTGGCTGCAGTTAATGACAAAGCAAAGGTCAGTGCGTGAGCGCGCAGCCGGGATTTAACGCGCTTCTCCAAAGCTGCAAAGA